CCAATTATTAGCTGAACAAAACAAATATGATCTATTTTTTATAACTGAAACTTGGTTCAATTCTACTTCTGCTCCATCAATCAATAACTATATGCTATTTAGGAAAGATAGAATTAGTTACGGAGGTGGTGTAGCAATTTATGTTCAAAATGGTATAATGGCATGTGAACTAGACAATTCGCAGCTAAATAAAAACTTTAAATGCAAAGAATCTGAATAACTTTGGGTTGAAATGAAGTTACCATCGGAAAAATTTCTTGTAAGTTGTATTTATCACCATGAGAGGAACTCACCAACTGCTTCAGTGCAAATAAATGACATAATTTCTGCTCTTGGTTATGCTAGATACTTAGTTGATACAAAAGTATATAATGGCTTAATTGTGACAGGAGACTTTATCTTTCCAGGCATAACTTGGCGATCTGACTGGAGTATCACATCTGACAATGAAAATAGTCTTGAATACAGGTTTCAATGATGCTCTCTGTAACAACCACCTCTACCAGCATGTCAAATGTCCAACTTTTATAAAAACTGATGGAAATCTTAGCAACACACTTTATCAATTATATCAGAATCAAAAGATAGAATCAACAAAGTTTTAACAGGACCTTGTCTTGGTACAGCCTCTCAAGGGCATATATCTCTAAGCTGGCAGCACAATTTAAGCGGTAGTAATCAAAATAATTTTAACAGCAAAAAAATCCTTTTTAAATATGGTAAATATGATTAAATAAACACTTTTATAAATAGCATAAATTGGCAAGCTAGATTTACGGATCATGATGTTGAGAAATGTTATTCCATATGGTCTAACCTCTATAATGAAACATGCCATAAGTTTATTCCAAGGGTATCAAAAAATACTGCCAAAAAAAGGCAACCCTGGATCACAAACAAGTTAATGAAGCTAATTAGACTAAAAAATGAGCTCTGGTACAAAAATGCAAACTCAAAGTGGAAAAATGCAGCGCAAATCAAAGACTATACAGCTGTCAAAAAGGAGGTCAAAAAAAATAGCAAACGAGCATTACATGTCTATGAGTCAGAGCTAGCTAACGACATGCACAATCCAAAAAGACTATTTGCATATATTATTAGTAAACGGATAGTGAGCAATCAAATATCAGCCTTAATCTCAGATTCAAACCAAATAAGCAGTGATGGAATAACAAAAGCAAACATTCTCAACAACCAATTTCAATCAGTTTTTACAAAGGAACCACTGACTCAGCCACTAAAACCTTTTGCATCCAAAACAAATGTTTTAACTTTGGATATAATAATTGACCAAAACATTGTTCTTAAACACCTAAATATGCTTGATTGAAATAAGTCAATGTGTGATGATAACATTAGTCCGTTTGTTTTAAAAGCATGTGCCACATCAATGGCAGTTCCGCTAACTTTGATTTTTCAACTTTCAATGAAATCTGGAATGGTTCCACTGCCTTGGCTCAGAGCTAATGTTACACCTATTTATAAAAATATTACCAGAACAGATCCAGCCAATTATAGGCCCATATCGCTCACTTCTATTCGATACAAACTTCTGGAAAAAATAGTTAAACAAGTAATAATCCAATTGCTCTCCAAAACTTAACATGGCTTTGTTTCAAAAAAGACTTGCATCACAAATCTTTTAGAAACAATAGACTTTTTGACTTTTAGCAAATCAAAGAAAAAACCAGTCGACCTAATTTTTTTTCGACTTTGCAAAAGCATTTGATAAAGTTTCGCATGTAAGATTGCTGTAAAAGCTGACATAAAAAAATTGAATAGGTACTACGCAACGCCACGAAAGTTCCTCGTGCTTTTAAAAATAAAGACTACGAAACTCGATGTAAAATCATAAAATTAACTACTCTTGAAGACAGACGGAAAAGAGGCAATCTTATTCAAAAATATAAGCTTCTCAACAATTCAAACCTAATTGATTGGCACGTAATGCCTGGCAGCATAGCACCCAGAGCTCAACATCGAAGCAGATTTCATCGCGAGATTGTCAGGAACTGCGAAATCAGACATAAGTTTTTTAACAACCGTGTAGTCAATGACTGGAATGCTTTGCCAGATAATGTCATCGAGGCAATATCACTTGATAAATTTAAACAACTACTAGACAGTTTTCAGTCATCATAGTTGCTACAACTCATCATTTACCGTAAATGCCACACAAAAGTTGCCGAAATACGAGTTGGGTATAGATGCGTATACTCAGCTGATGATGAGTTTAACAAGGCTGTGGCTTTGTGTAACTTAAATTAACTAACTAACTACATATATATATTTAACTGTTGATAGGTATAGTATTTTGTTAAAAATACAGCTCTTGTCTGCTTAAGAGTGATCAATATTTCTTTGTAAAATAGATCGAATTATATTTATATAATTTAAATGAAAAAAATACAACTTTTTATGGAACTATTAGTTTCATGCCATTCGGCAATCATTCAGCCATATTATTCAAAATTTACAAAATAAAAAACCGTTATAAAATACGATTTTTTAGCGTTGCAATGGTATCTGACGTCAAGTTTACGTCTGACGATATCATGAGTTCCTAATCTCCGATATCGAATTGTGAAAGCAGAAATTTTTTTTCTATGCCTGCAAGAAGAAACCAACTCACTTTTTTTATTAAGTAATGATCCTTGATCATAAGTCATAATTAAATACTTTTCATATAAACAAAGATTACATCTTTTAGTTGATGGATTATATGATTGACACTTTTTAATAATGTTCTACTTGATTAACGGCATAATACCTGCATTTTTATGTTTCCATATTTCTTTAGAAAGTTCTGTACCGTTTTCGTATCTAGTAGCGTTAAATGGTTTTAAATGGTTTGCAAACCTAAGCTTGAATGAGCCTTCACTGATACCAATATATGATTTTTCGGAATCACTAGGGTTAGCTAAAGATATAGTGGCTTTATACACGACATTTTTAGATACGCATTAATTATTTGAAGGGCATGAAAATTTATTAATACAGTTGCAGTTGGTGACACAAGCAGTAGGTTTATTGCGTAATACTTTTTGGTTGTGTGAATTAATTATTGATCCAACACTCGACATGCAGCTGTAACTAATTTTGATTGTATTTCTGTTAAATATCTTGTGGAACTTATGATGGAGAGGAAAATGCAAGTTAATTAACTTAAGAAAAAGGTGTTCTATTTTGGTGACAACGTTTTTGCTGAACGGAGGATTAAACCATATGATGTTTCTCTTTCGCTTATTAGTATTATTTGGGCCTACATATGGATGCTATTGTATGTTGTTTCTAAATCCAGACTTTTTTAATGCATCTTTATAAATAGGGGCAGTATTATTAAAAATTGTTTCGCTGGTAACAATTTTTAATAATACTGCTGATAACTTACGCTCAATTGAAGTTGGTAACTGTTTTAAAATATTAGGTGGATGGTTGGAACTAGCGTGGATGTAATTTAACGTACTATCAGGTTTACGGTATGGTTGGAAACTACTGTTGTTAAGGTTCAATGTTACATCTAGATAATTAACATTTTTCATATTAGTTTGGATAGAAATACTAAGGCTGTTTTGCTTAAATATTTGTGTGAAATGTTTCTTAAATTTCTCCATTTTAGGACCGCTTGCATTTTTGAACACAGCTAAGCCATCATCTCTATACAACCCCAAATCATGCTTGCTATAAAATTGGGAGATTTGGAAAAGAAGGAAAATTTCAACTAGTTGACAAACCTCCGCACCATCAAATGCACCCATGGTTACATCAAACAAACCACTTGATTTCTTTATCCAAACTTGGTCGTTGGTAAATAATAATGTTTTTCGCGCGTGAAGAATTAAAGATTTATGGTCAGTAGCGATGGTAACTTTATTGCTCCTCCGGTTGAGCACTCTTCTCAAGTTGTTAAAAAAAATAGAGAAAATTAACTTCAATTATTCAATAAAAAATATCCCTATACCATCAAATAAAGACTAAAATTTGCGATTGCTCAAAAAAACTGAAATCCTAATCAAAAGAATGAGGTGAAAAGCCTTTTTCTTCATGAATAAACAATCTAACGATATGAATGATACTAATAACAATATTAACAAAAATTTTAAACTTTACGGTGTTACCACTCCACAATATCCACAACAAATTAAAAATATGACTGGGTTTGAAAGCGATTTGTTCAATTTATGTAAAAATATACAGTTTAGAATGGTCCAATGCAGCTTTCAAAATACATTAAAGAAAGACATTTCTTCTATTCGAAAATCAATGCATATTTACACTTATGCTGATAAAACCTCAAATTTATACAAACTATCAAAAGAAGAATATAATGAATTGTTCATGAATGCTACTACCTCCAATTATAAAAAAGCCGACCCCATGATAAAAGACCGTATTAATAAAGAAAGAAAGGTTATTTTGAAGAATCACGATATATATAACAAAATCAATATAAATGGGTCTTCTGATTGCTTTATTACATTGAAAGACCATAAATCAAACTTTTTAAATAATCCTACGGTTCGTCTTATAAATCCCGCTAAGAACGAAATCGGAAGAGTTAGTAAGCATATTTTATTTGATATTGATACCAATCTAAGAAATATTTTGCATCTAAATCAGTGGAAAAATTTTGGAATAAGTAGCCGCCGTATTCACAACTCTCCGTTAAACTAACGGAGAATTTGAGTGTCCGTTAAGAAAAAAACTTTTAACGGCCGGTTGTAAAACGGAGGAAAGTTAATGGCATTCTAATCATTTCGTTTAGACTCCGTTTATTAACTACTCCGATAATTTTTTCAGTTAAAGTTTCTCTCTGTTAACTAGTTTTCGTGCTGTTTTTTTCATGGTATTAAAGAGTTGCGATGCCAACAGACAATAAAGCTGTTTAATTGGGAAATCGCAGCCGTTGATTTTTTGCAGCGTAAGTTTTAAAAATTTAATTAAAACACGTTACAATATAAAAAACTTTTATAATTTATGACAGAAAATATTAAAACAACTTATTGTCCAAAATGTCGCAAAACAAAATTATCAAGGAATCGAAAGTTATTTTCAGCAACTATGTCTTCATTATTATTTTCATAATTTTCAATTGGATTGTCATCTATGTCCACATCATTTAACTCTATTGCTAAATTTTGGAATACAGCACACGCACCAATTATGGTGCAGGTTCTTTCTGGGGTCATTCGAACCTCTCCATGAAGCAAATGAAACCGTCTTTTCCACCTTCCAAACACTTGTTCATTTTTTTTTATTTTATTTTTTATTTTTATTATTTTTTTTTATCCATTTATTTAACCATAATATTAAAATTACAAATTTAATTATAATTTACAAAATTAGGTTCGGTGTCACTCATATAATTTAAAACTAGTCAATGGAGTGACACCTTAACAAAATAAACAAATAAATCAAAAAACAAAAATACTATTATATCTTACAACTAACCAAACATAAATTAATAAAAAATAAAAAATATGGAGATCTAGAGATAATAAAGATAGCAAACTAAACAAAAGAAGTTAAAAAAATAAAAATCATTAAAAATTAGTATAATGATATAAAAAAACTAAGAGTAACAAACCAGAGACAATTAGCGAATAAGATGACATAAGAGAGATTGTATGTTTTAGATAACACGTGTTTAATAAGATAAGCTTCGAAGAAAGAAACTGAGAGAAAATAATATTGTAAACAAACACAAATAAGTAAAATAAATAAAAAAATAAAGATACAAATATTTAAATAAAAAGTATACTTTATACACTTCTACATTCAATATACAACATGTTACATGTGTTAGTTAAAAACAGAAAACGACAACATATATAAGAAGCAACAACAATACAAATAACAACACAAACATAACAGCAAACTCGACAAAAGGAAAATTTAAAAATGAAAATATATTGACCATTCATACACGACAAACAAACAATACTCAAAAATACATGACAATATAAATAATGTTCAAATTGTTAAAAACTAAAAAATTGTTCTTTTTAATCGTTCTTTTAAATCTATACTTTTTTTGCTTGAAGAAAAATCTGTAGTTCTTTTTATTTTCTATTTTTGAACATTTTTTTCTTTTAACTAGTTTATTGTTTTTTGTTTTTGTATCTTTTTTTTTTTTTTTTTTTGTCTTTCTTTTATTGTTATTTATTTATTTTAATCTTGCTTAACTTCATTTTCAATTATCTTTTAAATCATTTTATTTTTTATATATTATTATTTTTTTTCAATTCTTCTTCTTTTTTTCTTTCTTTTTTTTCATCGTTAAGTTAAAACATCCGCCATTTGCGATGTCATTGCAAAGGCCAAAAAAATGTTTAAAATGTTTAAAAAAAATTAAAACTCTTGTTCTTCTTAAAGATATATTATATCAACGCTGAGCTGCTGTAGTTGCACTTAGATTCGGCGTAAGCAACCAACAAAAATATGGATACCCGGAATCGCCAAGTAATAAACCTTTAAGAGTACCATTTATCATTTTTTTACCAAGCTTTGATTCTCTTAAAATTCTTGCGTCATGTGTGCTTCCAGGCCATTTTGCAATAATATCAATGAACTTTCCGTTATAATTACACACCGCTTGCACATTGATAGAATGATTTGATGATCTATTGACATAAACATATTCGTGCTCGCGTTATTTTTGTATGCAAACGTGCGTGCCGTCTATTAATCCAGTTATTCATGGAAATTCTGCCACATTATAAAAATTTACTCTGCTCTCATTTAAAACGTGTGGATCAGTTAAGTACTTAATGTATTCATTAATTCTTTTTGCCGAGTTTCAAAGAAACTTGGCGAATAATTCTAGAAATAGTTGGTTGACTGCTGCTGTAGAATCATCAATCACAATCTGGAAAGATCCTGTTGCATAAAATCGAAGTGCGCATAATACTTGATAGATTAGTGGAACACAAAAACTTTGATTTGACTTTGGTTGTAAATCTGTTTTCAGCAAATTTTCCAAATAGAAAATAGAAGCTCGACGAAACCTAAACCTTTGATATAAGTCAACAGCATCATAAATATCAAGTGGGTTGGTTCGGTCTCTAAATAACCTTCCACGTCTAAGACCTCGCCGAACTGCTATTTCTCGACGCCTTACTTCTGCGAAAACTAAATGCATACGAACGAGTCGAGGCATTGTCATTGAATATTTTCTATGCTTACTACTTTCAGTTTTATTTTTATTAGACCATATACGTGTTATTGCGACAAACAATAACCTGCGACACAGACTCGTTACAAAAAATAATTTCCTGGCAATGTTTCACAAATGCCATCATAGTAATTAACACTTGTTACCCTAGGCAATCTTTAAATGTTTCACTATTCATTAAAAATAAGTCTAGACTAAAGCATAAGACACTTAATACTTTATTTTAATGACATTACAAATTTATTACATACTCTTTAAAAATATTTATTTTAATCGTACAAATATTAGTATCCTATATATAAGTTGTTAGTATTTTATATACAGATTATAAGTTAAAATTTTTTTTTAAAACAATGGCAGTATCAACTATAAAAGTTGAGAAAAAACGTGCAGCCAGAGGAAAAGTGTGTCTCAGAAGAGAAATGGTTGGTAATTTCAAAGTTTGAAGAACATAAAGATGTTCTTTTGTCTAAAGATGGAAAGGCGGAGATAAATAAACGAAGAAATTGTATATGGAATGACATAATCCTTTATACTATATATATATTAAATAAAAAAATTAGTTTAGGCAGCATTATAAATTTTGGTACTTATGAGTATTTTAGATCACCGATGCTGTAAACAGCATAGGATTTGATAAAAGAACAGTTACCATAGTTACCAGTGTGAAAGGTTTATGGGATAATCTTCTTAAAAATGCCAAAAAAGAGATTTCATCAACAAAAAAAATTCCGACGGTGGGAGGACCAGCAGTAATTTTAACAGAAATCAGCCAGAAAATATTGGATAAATACATATAATTTATTCAGAAAATATTTTTTGGTTTGGAAGGGGTGGAAACCAATAGCATCGATTTTGTTTGCGATAAACAGAATACTGATAATCCAGTTGTGAATAATGGTGCAAGTTGCACAATGCTACACACTGCAATTACATCAGAAAATGGGAACAAAGACAACTCAGGACAAACTAAACGATCTACTGTGCAAGATGATTATATATTAAAAAACGACCAAAATTTGTCTGAAAAAAAACTCACTCCAACTCTCCACATGCCAAATGTTGATATGTTGAGTTACTTAACTGAGGAGAAATTTAAATTTAGGGATGAAGTGCTAAAGCTACAGGCTGAAAGAGAGTACTTTATTTCTAAAAATAAGTTAGTGGAGTTAGAAAAAAGAAACGCATCTATAAATGAAAAAATACTTTTATTAAAAGAAGATTTATTAAAATAAAAAGTTGTAGAAAGGCACTTAAAAATATTATAACTTTCTTGTCAATTAATGTAACACCATTTTTGTAAAACTTATTTTTTGTATGTTAATATAAGCACATAAAATAACTATTTATTTTTAGTTGTGAATTTACTTAAAATTTCCCCAACTTATAGGTTCATTTATAAGATTCTAAAATAAACTATTGTTAACAGTGAAAAAATACTAACATTATATGATATATAATTATTTATCATTAATAATTATAACAGTTTTTATATAATACATAGATAAGTTTTAACACATAACAAAATCTTTTGAAAATTGTTAAAAAATTTACATAAAAACTAATAAAAAAGACAATTGTGTTCTTCAAATGAAAATATTTAGTTATGAACATTTGTAAAGCCGAGAAATGTTCAAGAAAAAGATTTCAAGTTCTAAGTTATACAAATATTGTTTGACAAACAACAAAAGAAAAAATCTATTCTTTTTCACTTTGTAAGATTGATTGAGTCTTTGCAATGGATCATGTTTTTGTTCAAAATCAACTTCTAATATTTCAATGTCTATATTACTCATAATCTAAGATTCAGAAATTAATATAAGAACACGCGCACACGGACATACACACATATATGTATATATGTAAATATAAATTTATACAAGTATATATATATATATATATATATATATATATATATATATATATATATATATATATATATATATATATATATATATATATATATATATATATATATGTTTATATATATATATGTTTATATATATATGTTTATATATACATATATATATATATATATATATATATATATATATATATATATATATATATATATATATATATATATATATATATATATATATATATATGTTTATGTATCACACACACACACACACACACACACACACACACACACACACACACACACACACACACACACACACACACACACCTACACACATTTATATATATATATATATATATATATATATATATATATATATATATATATATATATATATATATATATATATATATATATATATATATATATATATATAGTATATATATATATATATATATATATATATATATATATATAGTATATGTATATATATATATATATATATATATATATATATATATATATATATATATATATATATATATATATATATATATATATATGTATATATATATAAATATATATATATATATATGAATAAATGTGTGTAGGTGTGTGTGTGTGTGTTTGTGTGTGTGTAATACATAAACAGATAAGAAACGAGTAAGAAACAATTATCTTATGCTTAAAATATGCTACATACTTTATGTATGTATATATCCATGTATTTATGTATGATAGTATGTAACATACATATGTACGTACATACATATATACGTACATGTAACATACATACGTACATATATAAATATGCGCTCGTAATAGTATATACTATTAAACAAAGTTCATTTGATTTCATGATAAATGAATGTATTCATTATAAAATACAATAAATGTCCAATTAAAATACCTTATAGTTTTTTATATAATAAAGTTTACTTAGGATAAAAATAAACTTATTTATTTCTAGTACAACTAATAATAAACAGTTTATCTAACAGTTATTAATAAGGATAATTAATAACTCATTAAGCTTGTTTTTTAGGCCTGTAAATCGAGCCGAACGATCCAAGCTTCACAGTAAATAAAATACCCGTTATATTTTTAAAAAACATAACGGGAGTTTTCCTCGCACATAACGGGTAATTGCCGTTATGTTTAATACTTAACATGTATGAAAATAACATAACGGTTTTAGCGTTATGTTTAGTCATAGCAAAATTGCCTTAAACATAACGGTTACATAACGCTAATTTACCGTTATGTGCGAGGAAAACTCCCGTTATATAACGGGTAATTACCCGTTATGTTACCGTTATGTTGAAAACCTAACATAACGGGTAATTACCCGTTATGTTACCGTTATGTAAAATGAAAATTATCTTTTTAAACAAAGTACTTAACAAAAAAACATTTTTTTGTCAATAAAAGTTGTAATAAGAAAATAAAAATTATACATAAAATATATTTCATATCATAATATATTTATATTATACTATTTATAATAATCATGAAAATTATTTACAAAATAATTGAATAAATTATTTACAAAACAATTGAATAAATTATTTACAAAATAATTAAATAAAATAACTTATTAAAATTTATAAATTCAAAAGTAATTTGCATTGCTTTGAAAAGATTGCAGAAGAAAAATGCATTTTTTAGATAATAAAGCCAATTGCAAAAAGTCTCAAATATCTTGCTAACATCCCAGAAGCCGCCCAAAACAAGAATATGTTAAATTTAGCAAATAGTAAACAAATGTACTGATCAAGGGTTGAACATCCATTTCGATACCTCTTCAACTCCTTACATCATATTCTGTTTTATTAAAGATAACTTGTGGACCATATAAACTTTGGCATAAGTATTCATGTAGTGAATCACACTAAAATTTTATAAATAAAAAATAATTATCACAATCATAAAATAAAAAATTATTATTAATACATAAAATGGAAAAAAAGAAAAAAGAATGTGAACCATTGCAATACAAAATGTGCTTACCATTAGTTAAAATGTCAGCAATATTACAAGCAATAACAATTTTCTTTCCCCAAGAAATTTGACAACAACAGCCTTTATTATTTTCAACTATTAACTATTGAAGAAATAAGTAAAGCAGTTATTATTAGTTTATACTACTTTAATTTTACAAATAGTATATTTAACATTTTTTAATACTTGCAATACAAAATTAATGTTAAAAACAGTAATAATAAACAGACAGGTCAGACGGTAAGAGGTAAACACCATTATTACACAAGTATTAAACAACATTATTAAACATTATTATTTGGCACAATTTAATTAGTTTAATAATACTACACTAATTTATATTATATTACTAGAGAAAATTTATTATAAAAATATCATATAATATATTTCTTCAGAATTTCAACTTAACAATAAATAATTTTTTCTTTCAAAATAATTTCAAATATTAAAGACTTAGTCTATTTCAGGGAACTTATTGGTCAATTTACGGACTGAAAATTGGCACAATATACAGTGAATTAAAAATTTGAAATTTTTAGGTATGCATCTTCAACGCAGCATAAACAAATTTAATGTTTTTTCCATTTTTCCGATTTCCAAATAATTCCTCAAACTAACCTTGAACATTTTTATGATAATAAAAGTTTAATTTAACAAAAAAAATTCATGCAGTTTAATATCTTAATATATTTATATTAAATCATTTTTCATAACCAAGAAAATAATTAAACAAATTAACTTTGGTAAAAATTAACATTAATAAAGTCAAAAGTACTTTGCATTGCTATGAAAAGACTGCAGAACTAAAATGAATTTTTTAAATAATAAAACTTATTGCCCAAATCCACAAATATCTTGGAAACATCCCAGAAGCTGCCCAAAACAAGGATACGTTAAATCTAACAAATAAACAGCCATCAAAACGACATTATATATATTATAATTATATATATATATATATATATATATATATATATATATATATATATATATATATATATATATATATATATATATATATATATATATATATATATATATATATATATATTATACATATGATATATATTATACATATGATACATATATATATATATTTAATATATATATACATATATAT